GTTGACATGAGAGATTAGGAGATCTAGGAGAGGGAAGTTGAACCAGTGGAGTGGAGTTGTGTGAATTACTTGGCGGATTCTTAGTCATCAAGAGGAGAAAGTGCTGATCTGGCAAATGCATCCTCAGGCATCAATTATATATTATTACCCATACTTATAACTCAATCTGGTATAAATAAACAAGCATAAAAATAGCCCGATGCGGGTTAAGCTTATCTTCGATCAGTGGAGACAAGAAGAAGCTCAAGAAAGCTGTAATTCGTCAAGCAATATAATTCCATAAATATATATATACGACATTATTATATATAATAATACATAATGCATCGGAAGAGTATCGTTTGCATCATGATTTCTTCTTCTTCTTCTTCTTCTCCATCATCATCATCTTCTTCTTCTCCATTGTATTTGATCAGCCACAATGGCGCCAACTCCCTCGAGAGACAGTCCATCATCTCCTCCTCCCAACATAACTCTTACATCTGCATCCTCTACACCGAGATTTGGTCGAAGAGTCCCAACAACTGCAACTGATGATGGATCACGTCTTCATCGAAGGCTTCACATGCCGGTCCATACCAGCAGAAATACTAATGATAATAGACATATTCGTGTGCAAGAGCCAGAAGGAAGTCAAGCAAAATCACCATCTATCAGTATATATGGGGGATCATATACTCCACGAAGATCAAGATCGCTTGCTGGTTCAAGACCTGGTTCAACGAAAAGTCCTCCAGCATCCAGTCCTCCTTCCCCTAGAAGCAGTTTCAGTTTCAGTCGTAATCATAATCATATGGGCCTCTTATCGGATCTTCTACAGGATTATAATTTAGATCTCGAAACTTATGGCCTGGAAGAATTGAGAGATGGCTTCTTTGATGCTGCATTCTTCAAGCCACCAAACACAAGTCATGCAGAACTTATGAGAGATGCAGAATTTACGTTACCAGCAGCCTTCAAGAAGAAGCATCCATTGTCATTGAAACATTTCTTTCCAAGACAATGGCGTGGAATCAAAGACATATCCAAAAAATTGGTGACCACACGAGCTGGCGTTAAGCTTGTAAAGTCGTTTCTTCCTTTCTTCATCTCTTACATTTTATGTTTAGTCCCTGTCATTAGAAGTTGGCTTGGTCGTTATAATTTTATCATGGTGATATCTACAATCGTCAATCATTCAGGACGAAGTGTTGGAGCTCAGATTGATGGTACTATATTGACAATCCTCGGGACCGCAGGAGGGCTTGGATGGGGCGCCTTTGCGTTGTGGTTATCTGATTCCACAGCTGTAGTCAGAAGAGGATATGGAGGTATTCTGGCAGCTTTTCTCGTTTTGTTCATTGGGATTACTGCAGCGCTCCGTTCATATTATATCAGACTTTACCAGTTGGCTTTATGTGCTGGTATGGCAGTTCTTTATACGTGTCTTGCCGATACTTCTGATAGGACGGCTTGGAAAGTGCTGTTCGAATATGGCATACCATGGTTACTTGGCCAGGCCATTTCTCTCCTGGTGTGCTGTATTGTAAGTATACTTTCTTTAACCTATGTATCTGGCAAGTTTTTTCTTGATGACACTGCTGCTACATCTCTTGTGGAGTTTTACCTATTTGGAGCCTGGTAGAGAACCAGTGTTGTCAGGATCCAATAAACTTTTGCTTCTCTCATTCGGCTTTGCTAACATAATATAGGTGATTCCTGATGCCGGCGCAAGATCATTGGCTGTGAGCTTACACAATGCATTTGAAATTATGCAAAAGGGACTTCAGCTTCCACAATCAGATCCGGTCACTGTAAACAGGCAACTGGCATTTACTTTTGTAAATCTCTCACAGGCTTATAGAGATCTAGTTCTTGATATTTCTGTTACCCGTTTCAAGCCCTCAGATGTCATGGCATTGCGGAATCTGATGCAAGCAATGATAAGATCTCTATTGTCTCTCCGAATGGAATCGCATCTTTTCGGTGATTCCGATAAGGAGGATGATTCCGACATACCTTTGTCACCGGCCGTATCAGCCCTCAGCATTCGTCGGTTTCGATCAACTTCGGTGATCAATATCGATGGGCCTCGATGTCCAAGGCTTCCAATATCAGATACCGAGGATCGATCTGTGGATTTGGTGTCCAGTAAACTTGCAGAACCTACATCGAACTTGTTGTCTTGTTTAAAATCGGCATTACAAAGGTGCGATGCTGTGTTGATGGACATGTCTGGCCACAGAGTATTCCTCGGACCTCCCAAGGACGTTTCTGATGATATTGTGGATGCGATAACAAGTATTAGGAAGGCCAAGTTCAAATATGATGAGGAAGAAGAGCAGTATGTATTGGTCTCTTTTGTTATCTGAATTAATTTAGATGCCACGAAGTCGTGTTATTTGTACTCGCACTTCAAGTTCTCGTCGTGTAGGGCTTACAACATCCCAAATTAAAACCAAACAGGATATACTTAAATTCTGGCTTCGTATTCCATTTTCTCCGAACATTGAATTTCTTCGGTATATTATGTTCGGGCTCTAAACCATATTCATATGTGCTATTCCTGTTATTTAGAATGTAGATTTGAACCATATTCAAAAGCCTTATTGCCTTTCAAATATCGAAACACTCCATATCGGACTCTGGCATTGTCATCGGCAATGAGTACTGACTGAGGTAATTATAGGTTGCTTCAAAACCCAAATCTACCCCCAACATATTCTGATCACCCCGAGGTTGTCGAAATTTTCCTATTCGTTCATCCTATCAGACAAGCAGCGAACAGCGCCGAAGCTCTTCTCATTAAAGTAAATGAAATGCAGCAAAGGCGTTCTGGTTGGCGAATTTATTTACCATCTTATCCGTTTGGCAAAGCTCTCCAACGTACAAATAGACAAGTACGACATGACAGAGGAGGTGTAACGGCAGGCTTCTTTTTCCGAAATCAAAGGGAACTTGCCAAGACAATGAAAGGAATGGCAAATGTTTATAAACCTGCTTCTCGGAAGGAAAAGGGTACAGATGAAGAAGAGAAATATGAAGATCTCGAACCTACCGATACTGTGGGGACGTATGCGGAGGAAGAAGAAATTGCGATGGATAAGAATTCACAAGCTTCAAGACAGAAACGTCTGAGATACAAAACTTGGAAGGTCATTCATCGCTTACAAGGCTTCGAGACTAGGTTTGCTTTCAAAGTAGCGATGGTAACTTCTCTTTTGTCAGTGCCGGCATGGCTAAGTCAGAGTAGAGGATGGTGGAACAAGCATGAAAGTTGGTGGGCAGTTATAATGGTCTGGATAATGATGCATCCAAGGCAAGTCTCAGATCGACCTTCAATTTGTATTAGAGGATTGAACTAAGTTTTAGCAGGGTTGGTGGAAATATCCAGGATTTAGTAACTCGGGCTTTTTGCGCCATGCTTGGTGCTGTGTGGGGAGGTATAGCTTATGGTGCTGATGATGGTAATCCATACGTTATGGCTGTACTTGCAGCCATATTCATGATTCCGATGATGTATCGATTCACTCAAAGTCCTCATCCTCGATCAGGAATTGTAGGTTGCATCTCGTTTGTGGTGGTTTCATTGGGGGCCTACACAGCTCCTGAAAATGCCTCGGTTATCACTGTGGCTTGGACTCGTGGGGCCGCTTTCATGATTGGTACTGTATCTGCTGTGATTGTCAATTGGTTCCTTTGGCCATTTGTTGCGAGGCATGAGTTGAGGAAGGCATTGTCGTCGATGCTCATTTATTCCAGTCTAATTTATAGAGGTAAGTGATATTCCGAGCGTCATCATATACTTTACTCACAATCTCAGCTGTGGTGGCGAAATATGTATATTATGAAGATGGAGAAGAACCAGGTGTGAAAGATGTGCTACATTCTGGTATATGGCTTCCTTGTAATCTTGGAGCAAAACTAATGCTTCTTTAGAAATGCTCGAAGGTCGCTTGAGAGAAGGATTTGTGAGGATAAGGCAATTATTGGTATGAGCAAATCTTTCCACTGTATTCCTACGTCCAAGTTGACATGTTTTAGGCTCTCACTCGTCATGAAATTCGCCTACGTGGACCTTTTAATCCACTTCCTTATTCCGCATTAATCGATGCCTGTGAACGGTTCTTCGAGTATCTTGTTTCCGTACGACAGTCTTCATTGTTCTTTCATCCGCACTATCTTTCCGATAACCAGCAAGCATCCGAGTCACTACTTTCTTTTCGACGTGATGCCGTCGCCTGTGTCCTCATGAACTTGTATGTTTTAGCTGGGGCATTGCGAGGGGATAGGAGGGTTCCTGTAGGTCTTTTGTTCTTCAATAACGCAAAATAGTTAAAACACTAACAGAAAAACAGCGATATCTCCCATCTGCAGCATCAGCACGAAAACGTCTCTTAGATCATATGGCTCTCCTCGAATCTATGAATATTCCTGCAACATCAAGCGCTGTATCCGTGAAGTCGAAGAAAAGCAACAGAAAAAGCAACCGTAAGGAAAAAGAGGATTCGCATGAGACGGTTGATTTACCTGGAGAAAGAAAATGGTCTCAAATTTATAATTACAGTACGTACTTGACCCTTTCGATTTTTGGGCTCTTCCAAAGTTCCAGATATATCTGTGTCTCCTTTGACTTCAGATGACGAGTGGTGACACAAAGATTTATAGGTTACAGTCAATCTCTCACAGGATGTGTAGCACAACTCGAGCAATTATGTCAATACACCAAGGAAATTGTTGGCGAGCAAGGGTATGTGTTATCGTTTCGCCCACTCTCTCTCCTCCTACCCAATCTCCACACCAAATCACAACCCCATCAACCATCTCTAACCCGAACCCCACAGCTTCGACCCCATTTTCGAAGACGAATACGAAGATCTCACTCGCAATAGAGTGAGCGCTCATGGGCTTCTTGATGGACAAATCACACCACGTACTACTAGAGGTTAAGGACGGGCCATTTCAAAAATTGTAGAATATAGGCACAGAATGATGAAAGAGTCTATGTATCTTCATCAATAGGACCGCTGGTGCAACGGTAGCGCGTTCGACTCCAGATCGAAAGGTTATCCGTTCAAATTGGGTGTGTTTCAATACCTCCTTCCCTTGATTAATGAACATGTCATGATTGCAGTATTTTTTCGCGAGGAGCGGAGCTTTGGACCTGGGCTTCATGATTTGAGAAATAGCCGTGTAGTGTATGATAATGATAATGAAATATTGCTTATTTTTATAGATATAAAGAGCAGATAGCGACAGCGACATTGGAGTAGAAAAATCAAATATCGAGTGTTGTCCATGATAAATGCTCGTCTTCTACTCATATGTTTCCATCCCATACCCATACCCAAATCCATATTAATAAATACCAATATATTTATTTTCTCAAACCAACAACCATTGCTCCCTGGTTCCGATTTCCGATTTTCAATATTCAAGTAAACCCAAATTGTCGTGGCCATTATCTCATTATCTCATCGTCGTCGTCGTCCATGCCTTCGTTAACCCCTTCTCGCAACTGCCATCACCCATTAATCCATCCATACATACATACCACTTTGTCGCTCTTCTCTTAAGCACGCTTCCACACTTATCCTCCCCTTTTCCCCTTCCCCTTCCCCTTCCATTACTCCCACTTCTCCATCAATTTATTCCCTAGAACTCCCTCTGGAAAATCCCTAATCCCCAAATGCGTCGTATGAGCCCAAGGTTTCAGAGCATTTTCCTGCTGAATGGTCCGAGCGAAACATTTACCTATAAAATTTTCAATCATGCGTCAGCCATATATATATGCAATCACACACACACACACACACACGAGAAAACAAACAAACAAGGAAAAAGAACATACTCCAGCCCAACCGCGGCCACTCCCCCACCACACTCGCAATGGTCCCCTCATCCACCAACTCCGCGTTCTTCCCCACATTATCCAAGAGCGTCGCCAGCTGCACCAGCCCGCCGACGCGCGTCTGCGCGCCCACCTCGCCCAAATCCTGATGCCGAACGATGCTCTCGACAACCAAATCGCGCTGCTCCCGCACGGCCAACGCATCCCTCAACACGGCATCCGCGCGCAGCGCGCCGCCAAACTCAAACGACATGAGCGAGTCCTGCAGGAACGCGGGCACGGTCCCGATATCGTGCAGCAGCGCGACCAGCGCGTACGTCTCCAGCAGCGGGCTCTCGGGCGCGATGGCGGTCCAGTGCGGAAAGGCGTGGCGCAGCATCGCCACGCCGTAGTGGTAGACGCGCATGGAGTGGTGGAAGGTTGCGGCGGGGAGGGCGCGGCGCGCGTAGGCTTGGATGGAGCGGGCGAGGGCGCTCGAGGGGAAGGGGAGGTCGGCGAGTTGGAGGGGCGGCGCGGCGTGCTGCTGCGCTGAGGGGGAGGATTCGATGAGGAGGGTGAGGGAGGCGGGGACGGCGGTCCAGCCGTAGGATTCGATGGCGCGTTGGCGTTCGTAGGTCATGATGGTACGTACGTACGGTTTGGATGTGTGGATGTGTGCGTGCGTGTTATCAATGAGTTGCCGAGTTAATCAGACGTACATACTCGAGAAGAGGGGAAACTACCCCTTCTTACGCCCCAAACGCTAAACGCCAAACGTCAAACGCCAAAAGCCACACAAAAACAACCCCTCATTCCATATCATTCCAGTCCACACAAAATTCTAGAAGCTCACCCCATTCATTCATTCATTCCCCATCCAACCAACCAACCAAACAAACCCCCCCAAAAAAGCCCATATGCCTGCCCTGCCTGCCTGCCTGCCACCAGAGCCAACCAATCAAAAATGACAAAAACATGCAACACGCATACCCTTTCAAGTTTTCTTTGTTTTCAAAAAAAAAAAAAAACATAACATTGAGGTTACATGTTGTGTTGTAGTTTAATGAACCCACCAGATGCGCATGGCATGGCATCGCATCGCATCAACCCCCGCGCGCGCGAACCCATTTGATGTGAGCTGCTACGCTCCGTCATCTCACTCCGGCATCAAGCTGCGAGGTGCTTACCTAAACTTGCGTTGCGTTGCGTTGCGTTGCATTGCGCTGCGCTGCGTTATATGCTGCGTTACATCGAGTCACACTCGGAACGTAACAAACGGGATTTGGTGAAAAGCTCAAAATCGCCATTGCTTGCTATTGATGGTCAGATCAGATCAGAGCGAGAAAGATTTAGGGGAAGAAAAGAAAAACAAAAGAAATATGAACATTCTTCATAATCACCATATATACATCAAGTAAGTAAGCTTGACGGAAAATCAGTAACATCTGCAGTTCAAAATTCACGGAAAGAACTATCTGATCTAGGTATTGTAGAAGAAAAGAGGCTCTTTCAAACCAATATTCCCACTGCTCCATAACAATGGCAGGCGCCCATTAAATTGCACAGTTTGGGATAACCGTCATCATCATCATCATCATCATCATCATCATCATCATCCGTACTCTCATCCGAATCATCCAAAGACCATAACCTGACGGTGACATCTCGTATTCTTACGCACCACACCACAATGCATATCATAACCTTCTTGCAGGTGTAGTAATCATGACCAGTACCAGCTCCAGCTCCAACTCCAACTCCAAGTTCATGCTTCTATTTCCATCGCAATGGTGTAAATGCAAGCCAAGCAATATAACCAAAACCCATCCCAGTAGGATGCAAACTCCAATCCATGCACGCTAAAAAAACATTACAATTCCAAACCATGCAACTCTTCTTCCTCTTCAAACGGAGAAATGAATGGTTTTTGAATATGCACCAAAACCTCATCATCAAAAGACTTGATATCATCTCCATCTAGAGTACCGACGAAAGCACGTTGAACGAAGCTGAGCCAAACTCGATTCTTTTCCTGGTGCTTGCGATGGTGCTTCTTTTTCTTGTGCTTCTTCTTTTTCTCTGCATCGGGATCGTGCTCTTCAGCATCTTCGATGCTTTCATTCTCGGAGACAGAAATTTGTTTCGCATCGTCTGCGGTCTCGACATCATCTTCGTATAGTTCAGGTTCCTCCGAGATCTCCCCATCCTCTACCCGATCCCCCTTTGACGGCTTATACTTTCCAATCCTGTGTGCAAGCTTGAGATAGCTTTTTACCGTCATATCTTTCAGCTTGTAAATTGGATCCGTGAAAGTGTCGTACTCGACTTGATAGTGGAATGCGCGTGGATTTGGGTCATCATCCTTTGGAACCTTTCCGCCATGCTTACCCTTGCGCCATTTCTCTGTATCAATTTCATCGTTGGATTCCTTTGATGCTAATTCGAGATTGTTGATATAAGTCAAATTTGCAAAATATTGAGTGTACCCAAGTAATGTTAAACTTTGAGGAGAGTATGCCGGTCCAGGGGGTGCAGCTTTCGAAGGAGGGGATGGAACGATAAATCCTGGATTAGATGGCGTCGGATTCTTGAGCCTCTTTTTGTCTTTCTGGTGCTTTCTCTTCTTTTTCTCGGTAGAGATATCGACATCAACGATGAATTGACCCTCTTCTTCTTGATCAAGCCAATCCATTTGCTCATCCCTACCCACGACTGAATCGGACCAAAGAGCCGAGTCGTCCAATCCAGTAATGTTGTACTCAATCACTCGAAGAGTAGGGAAATAGTTGGGTACGATACTCGGTCCAACATGCGTTATCTGGAATCTTTCACCCCATGGACCTCCAAATTTCTTCAATTCTTTCTTCCTCTCATCTCTCTCCTTGTCCTTCTTGCTCTTCTTCCCCTTTTTCTTCTTGTCATCGGAGGCATTATTCAGCTCTGGGTACTCCAAATCTTCCCCATCCATCAAGATGGGTAGGTTTTTTGGATTAGGCAATACAGACCAATCTTCTCGAAGATCTTCCAGGTAATCTCCAGCAGATTGTATCGTAAATTCATCGTCCATTAACGCGCGAGCAGGCGCAGTAGATTTACTCTCGAACAGTAAGAGATCAATGTCTTTAGTGTCTTGTATCATGAAATGATCAATATTCATGTGCCCAAACAAGCCTCCCACAACAATATCTCGATATTGCTGAAGCCACAAGGTATACTTTTGCCAACACGTTTCGTCCCAAAGTGATTTGCTGTCCGTTCGAGCAGGAGGTACATGTCCAGTAAGAATAACCTTCATTCCGCGGTCCCGCATAAATTGTAATTGGATTCGTAGCCATTCCATATGTTCATATCCAGGCTCTGATCGTAATGCGCAACCATCCACGGCAGCATTATGGCTGAAAAAGTATAAAGTGTTGAGACTGAAGACGGCCAATTTGTTTGGAATGACCTCGACATAATACCATCCTCCTCGTTGGAAACCATGTCTTTGTTCTTCTGGTATGAATTTATCCCAGATATCGGTATACGTTTTGAACCATTTATTCGGACCCGAAAGAAGGATATTATGTGGAAGGATGTCGTTGTTGCCAAATGTTGAGATAACCGGAATCGATAAATCTTCCCCGTTCCCAAAAGTTTCCAAGAATTTAGAAGCAATCCTTCTATTGGTATCGAGGACCTCGCTTTGAACTCGAGGTATCTTTTCATCGCTATCATGACGTGCGCTATTCTCAATCAGCATTTCTCTTCGCACAAAGCCAAACAAATCATCATTGCATGCATTTGGCTGTTCGGCAAGGCAGAACCGACCTGTCTCCTGTCCACACCACAAAATCCACGTTGTCCCTCACGTTTTCCTTTATCCATTTGAAAGTCGCATCGATGAGAGACTGAGGAGTATCGCAGTCCGTAGTTTCCGCGCCATATGTTCCGGCGGTCCCCTTTCCTCGATGACAAGCATCATCTTCGTCGGTGGAGGAGGACACTTTATAATGAGGATCGTGATGTAAATCTGTAACACATGAGCATCGTCCAAGACCTAAATGGCAGATGAAAGAATTTAACCCCACCTGTAATGTGCAGGAATCTGCCATGCAGGCGTTTGGAAGAAGCACGCTGATGGTGTGTAGGATTCAGGTCCCCCAATGGCACTTGCAGGTTCGATTGGGTCGTACCGAGGGGTTTAGCATCGGCAGCAGGAGAAAATTGTAGCAGATAAACTGCTATACACCATGCGTTTAGACGCATACTGACCAAACAATT